TCTATTTTACACAGAAACTTTCAGTACAGTAAGGAGACGGGTCCTTTCATGTAGAAATCTGTCCCCAAAGGTGTAAAAAGAACTTATCTACATAGTTTTAGATTCATTTACAAATTAGGTATATTGCAGTTATTGTAGAAAAATGCATCTTTATAGCAAAAGGTAATTCTAAAGAAGATATGTTTATTGAACAAAAACTTATGAACTATTCATTAACAGTCAATGACTGTGGAGGACAAGGAGCAGAAACAATGAGTCAAAGAGGTCACAATTTGGTGGAATGCATGCATGATAAACCTGGATATCTGAATCAGATTTTTGCTTCTGTGTATGTGTGATGAAGAAAGTGGCTAGAATGGGCAGAGAGCAACTGTGAATTCTGTAAGGGAAGAAAACAAACCTTTATTCGTTCTATAAGAATCTTTGGCTTTACTGTGGTCATATTCAACCATTAGTCTCCCATCCTCGGTTCCCAGATTACCCACAAGAAGACAGATAACTAACCTCTGGATAAGCACTGGTGAGGAGCAAGCAATGCTTAAACTATAAACGATGTCCCTGCAGTGTGAGGGAGTTGCAACCAACTCAACGCCATTTCTAAGATCCGGCATGTGAACGTTCCACCTGATTGACGTTAATTATCACATAATTGTTGCATTTTAAGCTTTGGAGGGACCTCAAAACTAATCTTGTATAACTATCCACTTAAGTGAGGAATCCTTTCTGTAATACTTCTGGCAGCTACAAGCTTTTTTTGGGAATACTCATTAACAGCAGCAGAATGTATTTTTAATCAACAATATTTATTAGAAACCACCTCCTCATATTTTCCAACCACTTCTCTAAGCTTTGGCTTCTAAAGCAAATGAAGAATTAGCCTAGTCTCTCTCCCATATCCTTCAAGTATTTGAAAACAATTATCAGTTGTATTTCTGAGTTCATCTCCAGATTGAACTGCCCTATTCTTTATGTATTCCTCTTGAGAAATATTTTCAAAGTCATCACCATCTCATTCCTGCTCCTCCAAATACTGTTAACACTTGGCCAAAGTCTGCTTAAAATGGGACACCTAGAATGGAACACAATATTCCAGCTGTGATGGATCTTACATCAGAGTTCAGAGGGATTATTTTTTCCATCTGGACACATACTTTCATCAATACATTTTTAAAAGACTTTAATTCTCTGCCCCCCTCTTCCCCTCCCCAGGTGATCTATACTGTGGGCTTATACTGAAATTTGGTCAGATAAAACTGCCACATCTTTTTTCCTGAGTACCACTTACAATCTGGTTTCCCCTCCTTTTACCTTGGCTATAAGAATATGTCTAATTTCATTTTAAGTTTGCCTCAGCAATGAAATAAATTTTAAATCTTATTAACACCATCATATGTAATCATTCCACTGTTATCGGTAAATTTCATAATATCTTTTAACAAAATTTCTTGTGTTTTTCAGCTAAAGAACTTGAGATTTCCCTGTTTAATGTAAATCATTATTCAACTTTTTAAGTCTATTTCAAAAGTGAGGAATCTATTATCCAGTCACATCTTCTACTTTAGCCACAAAGAGGTCAAGATGTCAATAGAGATGCCAAACGTTGTGTCAGATTCAGTGAACACTGCTCCTTTAAACCATTTTTAGCCATACAATGCGAGAGGAATTTTACCATGGGAATAAAATTTTAGGTCAGCTCTTAGGTTCCATGAAATAAGCAGCTAGAATATGTGTCAGCTCATGTGAGTAGAACCAGAGCCTATCACATATTCACCCCTTCCCTTTCCGTGGGCTACATGTATCAAACCTGTATTTTATCAGTAAAGGGAACTAGAGGACTATAAGATGAATCCAACCAAATAAAAACTCAAGAATCACTTGGTATGTGCATGTGTGTCTGTAGGTGTGCATATGATTGTATTCATTACCCTCAGTTTTCAAAATTTCTATTTACAGCATTATTGAGGGTATGTTGGAAAAGGCTACTTTCGTCTAGTATTGGGATTTTATAATCTTTACCCTTTGTCTTGATATAGTTGGTACTAACCACTTAGGCAGATCTATTTTCAGGGGAAATAAAATTTGGTCACCGTTTTTCAAAGAAAATTAAAGTATGCACTGTACATAGTTTTTTTTTTTTTTTTTAAAGATGACTGGTAAGGGGATCTTAACCCTTGACTTGGTGTTCTCAGCACCACGCTCTCTCGAGTGAGCCACGGGCCGGCCCTGTACATAGTTTTTGATCGGTGGTTGGTTGAATCTGCAGACAAGAAGGGCCAACTGTACTATGACATTTTATGAGGGACTTGAACATCTGTGGATTTTGGTATCTGCAGGGTCTTGGCACTAACCCTCTGTGAATATGGAGGGCCAACTGTATGCCTTTTTTGCTATTATTCTCACCAAACATTTGTAAGAGAAGGCATATTCAATTTCAAGGGGCAATCCAGTTTCAGATGGGAGACACATAACTGTAATAATGCTATGCTGAGGGAAGAAAGAAGTCTTGGTCACTGAATCTTTTCAGATGAGATAGTTTCTCTTTTAGCAGTGTTTGGGGCTCAGTCAACTGTCCTTAAACCTGATTTGAGGGATTAGTATTTGTTATGGACTTAACGTTTGTGTCTCCTCCAAATTCAGATGTTGAAGCCCTAACCCCCATTGTGATGGTATTAGAGGGTGGAGTCTCTGGAAGGCAATTAGGTTTAGATGAAGTCGTGAGGGTGGAATCCTGATGGTGGGATTAGTGCCTGCCATAGGTTGAATTTCCACCTAAAACTTAGGCCCCACTGTGACAATGTAAAGATGGTGGGAAATCCTACTATGGTAATTGAAAGGTGGGGACTTGAAGAGAGGTGATTAGATTGGAGGACCATGCCATAGTGAATGAATTAATAATGATGTCGGGGGTGTGGTTCTGAGGGTTTTAAAGGAGAGCATGCAAGAATCTCCCTCTCTCTGTTCTTCCATTTTTCTGCCATGTGAGACCCCTGGGTCAGTCACCACCACAAAAACCGTCACCAGCTGTGTTCCCTGGACTTCGGACTTCCCAGCTTCTGAAACTGTAAGCAATAAATTTCATTTTCTTACAAATTACCCAGTTCCATATATTTTGTTATAAACAATAGAAACAGACTAATACAATGCCCTTATAAAAAGAGACACCATAGGGCTTGCTCCCATGTGGCTGGCCATCTGCAAGCCAGAAAGAAGGCCCTCGCCAAGAACCGAATCTACCAGCCCCTAGATTGTGGAACTTTCCAGCTTCCAGAAATGTGAGAAATAAATGTCTGTTTTTGAAGCCATCCAGTCTACGGTATTTTGTTATAGCAGCTTGAACTAAAACAGTATCTTAATGCAATTTCCTTGGAGCATGAAAAATTCTTTTTGTGTACGACAGAAAAACTGGTCATATATATACAAACCAGCTGACCGAGTGGGAAGGCAGAATTTCTAGAGACCTTTAATTCATACACAAAGGCTAAAGGCAAAATGGTAGAGCAGAAAGTTAAGCCATTCCCTGCTAGCTAAGGCATGGACAATTGCAAAATCATATCACTATTTTTTCTTTGAAGAGCTATTTACTCAATTTTGTTTGGCTTCTTGTACAGTGCAGTTTGTTGCTTAAAGAGCTACAGATATTACCTTTCATCAAATTAACTTTAGAAAGGCAAGACCTTGGCATAGGTAGTTCAGGTGGTAACTCCTCAAGACAATTTTTACTTAATTATCCAGGTAACATGCAACGTTTATGCTAGAGGGGGAAAAAAAATTTTGTATCAGGTGGCATAACATCAGGACTTTTCTTTTTCTCTGTGGCATCCTAAACTTTTAGGAGTCATGCCCTATACATTAGCATAAGATGTTTAAAAACTTGCCCACAGCAATATAACAATGCCTGAAAAAAACCCTGAAACAGGCCTACATTTCCTGAATCAATAACCAAGAGAGACTTTATTATATATGGCTCAGTCCATAAATCTGAAGTATAAATTTTCCCAATTACAATTTTGATAGTTATCCACCATTCAGAGCACATCAGTGACACTATTCTCTGATCTGCAAAAGAGAATAAGTGGATGGACGGCCACATTCAAAAATGCTTTAAAAAGACCTTAGTTTTGAATTATGCTCAAGNCAATTGCAAAATCATATCACTATTTTTTCTTTGAAGAGCTATTTACTCAATTTTGTTTGGCCTCTTGTACAGTGCAGTTTGTTGCTTAAAGAGCTACAGATATTACCTTTCATCAAATTAACTTTCGAAAGGCAAGACCTTGGCATAGGTAGTTCAGGTGGTAACTCCTCAAGACAATTTTTACTTAATTATCCAGGTAACATGCAACGTTTATGCTAGAGGGGGAAAAAAAATTCTGTATCAGGTGGCATAACATCAGGACTTTTCTTTTTCTCTGTGGCATCCTAAACTTTTAGGAGTCATGCCCTATACATTAGCATAAGATGTTTAAAAACTTGCCCACAGCAATATAACAATGCCTGAAAAAAACCCTGAAACAGGCCTACATTTCCTGAATCAATAACCAAGAGAGACTTTATTATATATGGCTCAGTCCATAAATCTGAAGTATAAATTTTCCCAATTACAATTTTGATAATTATCCACCATTCAGAGCACATCAGTGACACTATTCTCTGATCTGCAAAAGAGAATAAATGGATGGACGGCCACATTCAAAAATGCTTTAAAAAGACCTTAGTTTTGAATTATGCTCAAGAATTTTTTGTGTATTTGATTTTGTTGCTGTTCTTTGGTAGATTTTAAATATTAGAGGCAGACTCTGAATAAAAAGAACACCAATATGGCTTTTGCTCTCAACGCATTTCAGTTTTAATATTAAAGTATGAAAGAAATGTAAGTTCATTCTTGTGGATAATAACATCACTTTATTGTGTGCAGCCTTTTCCACACCAATTATTAGTGCTTTTGCTCTCAACGCATTTCAGTTTTAATATTAAAGTATGAAAGAAATGTAAATTCATTCTTGTGGATAATAACATCACTTTATTGTGTGCAGCCTTTTCCACACCAATTATTAGTTCTCCATGTGAAATAAGATTTAAAATGGTAAAGTTATTGTTAAGGAGACACTCTGGGCAACAGGAAAAGCTGAAGAGAGTTTTTTGTCTGAAACTAGAAAATAGAAGAGTCCGAGGGAAGAAAAGATATAAAAAAACTATCATAGATTATTAAGATCACAAAACAGCTTTGGGGACCAGATGACGTGACTACAAATGTGTGGGAGAGAGAAGGGCTGGGTAAATTGTCTTAGAAGGGAGGGTAGATTTCATGTAGATGTTTAGGGTATTGGCTTAACAATTATAATCTTAGTATTTCCTTCTGTGTCACTATAGCTCTTGATTTTCCCTGGTGCCTGTAATTTTGTTATGTAGCATAATAATTTTTTAAATTAGCTCAAAGATCACTTGGACTAGAGAACAGAAAGGTTCCAATTTTGTCCCTGACCAGCAAAGTCACATCTCAGGTATGCAAAGTGAAACAACTGGAAGACCTTTGCAGCGTACATGCAAAGTTTTGGTTTTTAAAAAAATTTTATTGTCCTGTCTGGGTTTCCTTACTGAATAGACTCCTGGAGGGAAAATAAATACTGTGAGTTTATTGGTTTGCTGCAGAACTGGAATTTAGGCTCCAATAAAGAGAGTTAAAGAGAGATCCAAAGGTTCACTTGAAATAAAAATTACTAGACAAAACAGGCTACTGAAGAGCCTCTTCTCCATGGTTGAGTTTAAGCACACACATAACACTTTGCAGCAGCTGTCCTCAGACGCTCTGTCCAGAGCCCACTCCTCTTCTGGAGTTTCTGAGCTCTTTATGCTCCACATCAGCTTCAGCTCTCTGCCTGGGTACTCTACACAGCCATTTGTGATGTGTCTACCTGCCACTTTGGGTGAGGTGGTCAGTAAAGGAGGCGAAGTCCCTACCACTTAATAGAAATATGAGATTAGAAAAATATGCTTGGACTAGGTTTAGTGTTCTAACTGGCAAATATGCCAAAAGACTGACAATCTTGTATGCTGAAGCAGAAATGAATCTCTCATATAAGATACAAAATCTTCTAATATAACATACAAAAACTTACAATATACATTAGGCCAATCCAGTTAAAACTCATAATTTTTTTGATACTCCCTGACTGGACTTTAGCCAGAAAAGACAAACCCAAATGGAGGAACATAATTTCAGTGTGGCAGAAAGTTGGGAATCATGAGACCTGAAATACAAAGATAAATGCATTACTGAGTCATATTCCCCCGGCCTTGAGGTACGCAGGCAAAGGAGAGGTCACACCTTACTGTGAGACAGAGGATCAAAGTTGACACAGGGCTCCAAGAAAATATTTATCAGAGGAATGTGATGATTCATTTATCGGTTCAGAAATCCCAAGTACAAAACATCAAGATATAAGGAGGATCAAATTATACCATGTATATGATTCAATTTAAAAATTCATAGCCCTCTTACATTATATTATGTAGATTATAATAGTAAAAAATCAAATTACATTCATATGAAACTTTTATAAAAAGAAATCAAATCCATTTTTATGAAATTTTATAGTACAATTACCTTCTTGTGGGTCTTTTCTTAGGTCACAGTATTTATAATCCAATTTACATCTGTATAATTTTTAAAATTAAAAAACAATAGGAAGTCAATAGAAATCAAAAATGTCATTTGTAAAACTCCCTTCAGTTTCCAGGCCAGTAACACATGGTGACTTGACTTGTCCTCCAGACATGGACTGCTACCAAAGATCCCCAGTTTATGGAGCATGCAGGCCTCGACTCATTAGGAAGGCTTTTTGGTTTGGCTCACGTTTCAAGAAATTCTGGAGCATGTCCATGCCGTCCAGAGATCCCCCAGGTTTCAGGATTAGGTTTCTGTATTTCATTCCAACCTAATAAAATAAAACATCATGCTTAATAATTCATGGGTATAGCAATTTCACAAATCTCTAGATACAAAAGAGAAAAAGGTAGGGGTGAAGAAAAGGGGATTTTAGCTTTATTCTGTCTAGATATTCTCTTCTGCCTACACTACAGCTCTGTATATTTATTTATTTATTTTGGTAGCTAAGAGATTTGGAGCTTAAAACCTCAGGTCTTCTATGCTGTCCTTTATTATTGTTTTGTTTCCTTAGATTCTCAGTAGTGAGCTGACGACATGAGCAAACAGACAGACAAAAAATAGACAAATGAAATATATAACATGTTCCTATTTGTTACTCTACCTCAAACGTGATTTCAAAAGGATTAGCATATCAAGTATTCAAGAAGGCTACAAATAAGGGCTCTGTGTACCTAGAAACAGTAGCACAGTAACTGCCAAATTGTTACTCTACCTCAAACGTGATTTCAAAAGGATTAGCATATCAAGTGTTCAAGAAGGCTACAAATAAGGGCTCTGTGTACCTAGAAACAGTAGCACAGTAACTGCCAAACGGCTTCTGCTGCTTTCATGAGGGGCTCATAAAAAACCTCTCTTCCTTATGGATGGGGGTGGAGTACAGCACATGCCCAATGGTGTAGGGTAAGAAATGTCTGTGGGCCCGGTGCTAGAAATGAGGGCCTTTGTAAAATTTTCCTTGGGGATGGAGGTCTGGAATTAAAAAACACATCACATTTCCTCTGCGTTTATTCACATAAACACATGAGCAGATAAAGAAAACAGTTGCTATTCTGTATCAGCATTATCAATATTTTCACTTCCCTTTCGGGAAAAGAAGAAAGGCAAGACAATTTGATGAAGACTAATTCTAAATATATACATAAAATAAATAGAGTCATCTCTTAGTATCTGAGAGGGATTGGTTCCAGGAACCTTCAAGGATACCAAAATTAGAGGATGCTGAAATCGCTGATATAAAATGGCACAGTAGAGAGAGGCATCCAGCTGGAGGGGCCCAAGATCCGCAGACACCACGTGCTCTGCTGTGCCAGCACATGACCCAGCAGGTAGGCCTTGCTGCCACCACCCGACTCCATCCCCAGCCCGGCCGAGTGCGTGTCGATCAGAGAGGTGCCCAACCGGAACTCTCAAGCTCTAGATCCTGTAGAACAAGAAGCCCTTGAAATATCTGACAAGGAATTTAGAGTGATAATTCTAAGGAAACTAAATGAGATACAAGAAAACTCAGCTAGACAACATGATAAAAGGAGGAAAAGTATACAGGACCTGAAAGAAGAAATGTACAAGGAAATCAATGCCCTGAAAAAGAATGTACCAGAGCTTGCAGAGCTGAAGAATTCATTCAATGAAATAAAAAACACAAGAGAGATTAACCAACAGGCTTGCAGAAGCAGAAGAGAGAACTTCTGACCTTGAAGATGGGCTGTTTGAAATAACACAGGCAGACAAAAAAAAAGAAAAAAGAATTAAAAATCTTGAAGAAAATCTAATAGAGATATCAGACAACCTTAAGCACTCAAACATCTGAGTCAGGGGTATTCCACAAGGGGAGGAAAAAGGAGATTGCATTGAAAACATATTCAACAAAATAGTGGCAGAAAACTTCCCAGGTATAGGAAAAGACACAGATCTTCAGATTCAGGAAGCTCAAAGATCCTCAACTATATTAAACCCAAAAAGGTTTTCACCAAGACATGTTATAGTCAAACTGGCAAAACTCAAAGACAAAGAGAGAATCTTAAAAGCTGCAAGAGAGAAGTGTCAAATCACCTATAGGGGAGCCCCAATCAGACTAACATCAGACTATTCATCACAAACCCTAAAAGCCAGAAAGGAATGGGATGATATATTCAAAATACAAAAAGACAGAGATTGCCAGCCAAGAATACTCTAGCCCACAAGGCTATCCTTGGGAAATCAAGGGCAAATAGTATATTTCTCAGATAAACAAAAATCGCAGGAGTTCACCACCAGACAACCACCCTTACAAAAAATTCTCAAGGGAGTACTGGGTTTGGCACCTGAAAAATAACTACCACTGCCATAAAAACTCAAGAAAAATCAAAACCCACTAGTAAAATAAAAATGCCAACAATGAAGAGAAAAAAAAAAGTTTAGCTACAACCCAAGAAACCAACAAATACAGAAGACAAATAGTACATAAGAAAGAAAGGAACAAAGGACTTTTAAGACATCCAAACAAAAATCAATAAAATGCTAGGAGGAAATCAACACTTTTCAGTAACAACTCTTAATGTAAAACGATTAAATTCCCCAATTAAAAGACACAGACTGGCTGACTGNAAATCGCTGATATAAAATGGCACAGTAGAGAGAGGCATCCAGCTGGAGGGGCCCAAGATCCGCAGACACCACGTGCTCTGCTGTGCCAGCACATGACCCAGCAGGTAGGCCTTGCTGCCACCACCCGACTCCATCCCCAGCCCGGCCGAGTGCGTGTCGATCAGAGAGGTGCCCAACCGGAGGGGCCCAGGATCTGTGGAGACCATGCGCCCTGTGGTACCAGTGCATGACCCATCAGGTAGGCCTTGCCGCCGCAACCCGACTTCATCCCCAGCCTGGCCGGGGGTGCGCTGAACCAGAAAGGCGCCTCCCCGGAGAGGCCCAAGACCTGAGGCGGCCACGCACCCGAGGCACTAGTGGGCAAGCAAGCAGACACTGAGGCAGCCGTGCCAAATTGGCAGCCCCAGCAGCATCCTAGCCAGACAATA